TCTCTGTGTACTTTAAGAAGTGTCCTGTACATCGGGATCTGTAGTGTGTGTGTGTGTGTGTGTGTGTGTGTGTGTGTGTGTGTGTGTGTGTGTGAACATCCACTCTCTCTGTGTACTTTGAGAAGTGTCCGATTGTTGCTGGCAGGATGTTTGCAGAGTCAGTGATAGCACACGACATTTTAGCAAGTGATTAATTTCTGTGGCGCCTCAACTCACTAGTTTAGTTATATAAACTAGTTACTCATGCTCAGAAGTTCACAATTCCTAGATAGTTTTGGGAGTCTCTTTTCTGACTCAAACTATTCCACTCATTTAATCAAATAAATGGATTCTGTCCCATAAACAAAAAGGCAAACCTTTTAAAAAGTCTTACACTTTTAATCTTTTAGAACAAATTAAGTCCTTTAAAAGGATGCCTTAGTGGGTTCTCCTTGCCAGTAATGTATTGCGTTAAATTTATCATTTTCCTTTAACCCTATACTTTAAAGGATGATTCTTAGTCCATGGAATTAGATCACTTTAATTTGATTTATATTGTGTTAAAACATATGCAAGTGAAATTTTAAATGTGTCTTTAACTGTCTTATTTTCAAATTAATCACTTATTGTATACAGTGAAGACACCAACATCATATTACTGACTTTGATCCCAAGATAAAGCATTGATTCTGAATATAGATGTAATTATTTAGCTTTAAATTCAAGTGAAAATGTATAACCTTTAACACTTTTGAATATTTTTATCCCTTTAGCTGCATTCCATTTAAACTGTGTGTCTGGGTCCATTTGCGTAGCTCAGTAGCAGAACAAGATACTTGTGTTTCCAACTAGCAGCAAACTTAGGCAATAATTATAACTGTATGCCAAGCATTTTTGCAATACCCTGGTATTGAAGATGCATACATGGGCAACACAATAGCCTGTTTCTCAAGAAACTCACAGTTGATTAAGATTGGAAACACACTGCTAATAGGGATAAAAACTTTATTACATAGCATTTTCCCTGAGTATTATGTTAATTAGCTCTCTCAAAACTTAGTAAGGTTTAATTGTTGGAAAAACAGACTTGGTAAGAAGTAGCCAAAGATTATAAAGCTGGTTGTACAGCAGAATTTCGATGCTGGCTTTCACATGCCTGCTCTGTACATCTACACCACAGGAAACCTTCTGCATGCTATACTTACGAATGCATAAAATGGGTAATCTTTGGTCTCTGTTTTCATGGGATTAGAAGATGTTAAGAATAACCCAAGATGTACAAAAGCCAAGACTGCTGTTTTAGGCTGTGTCTGTTAAGACCTGTCATCACACACTTCTGAAAAAAAAAAAAATGACCACACTTCATTTTGAACATCATGTATTTATTTGCTGTTGTTCTTTAATTTTCTCTGTAAAAGGTTTTTTTGAAAGTTGTATATTATAGCTGGGAAAATCTACAGTATTATTGTGAAGTGTTACCTGAAGAATACTGTATTGCTCTGTGCAACTCCTCTCAATGAATTTCCTGTTTTACCCCTACAAATAGAATAATTGTATACTCTGTGAGATTTTTTTTTTTTAAGACAGGCTACTTAATTTTAATTCCATTAAAATTTAAATTTCTCTGGGCGATGGTGGTGGTGCTGGTGCTGGTGCATGCCTTTAATCCCAGCACTCAAGAGGCAGAGGCAGGTAGATCTCTGTGAGTTCAAGACCGGACTGGTCTACAAATTGAGATCCAGGACAGCCAGAGCTACATAGAGAAACCCTATCTGAAAAAAACAAAACAAACAAACAAATTTAAATTTCTAGAATTAAAATCAGAATGAATATTAAAACCCAGTGTTATCATTTACATCTTTAAAAAAGCATCTAAAATATTTCATGATATACTCTTTCATGAAAGATACAGGGGAGCCTTAGAGACCCTTCACTGCTTTATTAGCACAACAAACTATAAATAAACAAGCAGAATTAAACAAATGGCAGCAATATGTATTTAATTATGTTACTGATATTCTCCCACACTGGTCATATGTAAACATCTGCAGTGTTTTTCGATACTGTCAATACTTGAAGGGCCCCATATCCTTACTGCCTTCACTTGAACAAATGTGCACTGTCCAGGGAAACTGCATCTTGAAAAGGTTATTCAGGGGCCTGCGGAGGTTCTATGCACTTCTTACTCCAGTTTCCTCTTCAAGAACACTGAGAACTATTATTTAAAGGGACTTTGAACAAGCCATAGCAATATGTGTTTTCCTTGATGTTTAAACTAATAATCCTAAGTCTGATCCTTCAACCAACAATTACTTGTCATGTCATGAAAATTGTATTTATTTTACTATTGAATGCTTGGAATTTCTTGGTACTCAGTTATCTTTAAGGGCATCATAGTTTAGGCAAGGAATATTTTTTGGTGAGCATTGATGTTATCAGGGTGATATTGGAGGATACTGACTGGACTGCAAGCTCCTATCTACTGCTGAACTTGATCATTAGTACAGTGAGAGTCTGTGCTAAGCACGTGTGGCTGAACTGATAAATGGCTGGTCACCAAGGGGCTACTCTTTGCACTGTTTGAGAGTGTTCTCTCTTTGTGTGTGTGTGTGTGTGTGTGTGTGTGTGTGTGTGTGTGTGTGTGTGTGTGTGTGTGTGTGTACGGGACATATATGCATATATCTGTGGCAAAATGTGCTGTTAGTATTTTTATGAGTAACATTTTAAAATTTTTATGTTTGAGATTGTAATATAATTACATTCCTCCCTTCCCTTT